ATGAGATAGGCATCAGAAAGCAGATCACAAGCCGTGAATGTAATACTTGGAGTGTTAATATCCCTGACTTTATTTGCTAATGATTCTTTCACCATTTATACAGAACTTGTTGGTTAGTACCTGGGCTCCTGGCCAGCCTTTCTACTAACCAAACACATCAAAGAAATAGGGAAAGTTGAACATTTAGCACTTATGAAAAAGCCCTGAGAATCTTCAGATGCCCCAAATCTCCATAAAGATATTTAGTTCATTATCATCATGGTGGTGAACATGGCAGTGGGCAGGAAAGCATGGTGCTGGTGCAGGAGCTGAGAGCTTACATTTGATCCACAACTGTGAGACACACACACATACACACACGCTGAGAGAGAGAGAAAGAGAGAGACTGATTGAGAATGAATGGCATGGGCATTTGAAACCTCAATGTCAACCCCAGCTGCATTCCTCCTCCAATAAAGCCACACCTTCTGATCCTTCTCAAACAGTTCTACCAATATGCCATCCTAGGAAGGCATTCTCATTCAAACCACCACACTCCATCAGTTTATGATAACTCTAGCTGTATTCCTAGATGGGTTACATATTTCTTGGATGAAAAGTAGGAGAAAGATACTACACAGCAAAACAGAAGCCATGAAGTGTCCACATATGACTGGAGCCATTCCTGCTCAGGAAAGAATTGTTGTGATAAAAAAAAAAAAAAAAAAAAAAAAACGATTACAACTTGAGTTTAGTACAAAGTCTTAAATGTTATTCATTCATGTATTCCTTCAGTAAGTGGATCATCAAGTAGTAAAGTTCAGTAATTCCAACTATGAAGCCAGGTGCTTGGGATCTATTTCCCGTGTTGTCAATCATTAACCCTCCTTAAACTAGTTTAAAAGTGCCAGGCATGGTGGTGTATACCCTTAATACCAGCACTCAGGGAGGCAGGGGCAGTGGGATCTTTGTGAGTTTGAGGCCAGCCTATTCTATAAAGTGAGTTCTAGGACAGCCAGGGAAGTTATTTAAAAAAAAAAAAAAAAAAAAAAAAAAAAAAAAAGCTTGTCTAAAAAAAAAAAAAAAAAGTTAAAAACTTAACACAAAGTTAGACATGATGGTACATGCTTTTAATTCCAGCACTCAGGGAGGGAGAGGCAGGAGGATCTCTGTGAGTTTGAGGCTAGCTGGTCTACAAAGTGAGTCCAGGACAGCCAAGGCTACAGAGAAATCATGTCTCGAAAAACTCTTCTAAGATTTCAATTCAGAATAAAAGACTTAATCTATTATGGAGCCTAGGATAATACCTGTTCACATATGCACTCAATATTCCAGTCCTGATTTGTTTTCTGTTGCTATGCTGAAACACTGAACAAAAACAACTTAGCAGAGGGAAGGCTCACATGTTTTAGTTATGACTCATCACCAATAGATGGGTGGGAGTTTGAGGCAGGAAGCTGGATGCTGAAACTGAAACAGAGACCATGAAGGAATGCTCCTTACTAGCTTGCATTTAAAATGTACCCCAAGACCTTCTGCCCAGGAGTGGAGGGCTTTTTCCTATCAATAATTAATCAAGAAAATGTCCCACAGATATGCCCTGTGGTCAACCTGATGGAGGAAATTTCTCACTTGAGGTTCCCTCTTCCCAGTTGACTCTAGTTTGTGTTAATCTCAGTGTTGATTACATGCCGAATAGTGTGTGACCTCACCATCATGCTCCTTTCCCAGTTATTAGCCAGCAATGCAGGCATCCTCTCAACTCTTCTTCATCTCCTCATAAGCCACGTCTCAGTGGGCAGCTGGGTTTGGTGTGTTACAGTATGTAGGCTCTGTCAGCTCCTGCCTTCATTGCCACGCCTCCTTACCTCATTCTAGCCTTGTTCATGGTCTCATCTCAATATTACAGTCACCTTCCTAAGACCATGTAGTTCTCAGACAGTGTGTTCTAAGGGTGTGTATGTGTGTTTATTCATGCATATGTGTGCACGTCTTCATGTTTGGGCAGGTACACATACGTTGGCATGGCTGTGGAGCTCAGAGGTTGACACTGGTGCCTGAGCTCTCTCACTGAATCTGCAACTCATTGATTCAGCTAGCCCAGAGGGTCTGCAAGCCCCCAGGCCCTTCTGTTCCCAATTACCCTGTGCTTACTCTTGGGTCTACATGGGTGCTGGGGATCAAAGGCAAGCTTTTTTTTTTTTTTTTTTTTTTTTTTTTTTTGCTTCTGTAGCAAGCATTTCACTGATGGAGCCATCACCTTAGCTCCTGCTTTGTTTTAAACATGTACCTGATGCTGTGTGTTTTCTCAGAGGCCTCTGTAGAAAGCAGGCCTGGAGCCTACACAGCACATGGACATTTTGTGATCCTGTCCTTCTATCTTCCCACCCTCATCTTTCTGCCCTCCCTCACCCCCAGGAAACATGCTGGAGTTTCCTGACCACAGAATGCTGTTTCAGTCCTCCTCTGAACTGCTGTTCCTTCTGCTGGGTCACCTACCCCTCTAGCTCCCGGACAACCCTCATCTACAGTTAGGTCCATTGTTTAATAAACGCTCCTTTACACTCATCATGAGTCAATCATGTGCCAAAGCCCAGGAATGCAATGCTGAATAACACTTTATCTTTTCTTTCTTATAGAAAATGTGACATGGAGGCTGCAGAGAGAGAACTGAAATGTAGAGATTAAAGTCATTTTAAGTTGAGCAGTTGTCCTGTACAAGTTGGCTATGCCAGAGGCCTGGCAAATCTGGCCTTCCTTAATCCTCAGAGACCCTGCTCAGAGACTCTGGTGAGTGCCTGACGCATATTTATGCTGCTCCCCATACACACATAATTAAGATAAAGTTTAAATTCATAAATTATTCACAGTAAGAGAATAACAAGAGTTAGTGGTGGAACAGTTATTACATATGGTATAATTAATTTGGGGTGGATACATTCCCTCTCTCAAAGTCTTACTGCCAGTGGTAGTGGCACACTCCTTTAAAATGCGTACTCAGGAGGTAGAAGCAGACAGATATTTGTGAGTTCTAGGTCAGCCTGATCTACATAGTGACCAGGCTAGCCAAGGCTACACAGTAAGACCATGTCTCAAATAAAATAAATCAAAGTATATTACTATTTCTGGAACTTTGTATTTAATGTTTGAGAACTCCGATAATGAAGTCATGGAAGTTAAGCCAGTCCCCAGAGGAGGAGCAACTATTGTATAAACCCATAGGCAGAAAGTTGCTTCAATCTCACGGTCTAAAGTTATAAACCACTCATTTGTCACTTTGTTTTTATGAAAGACACAACTAAGAGTACCCAAGCTGCCCATGGGTGATAACAGACTGGGTATGCCCTTACACAGCTACTAAGTAAAATGAAACATGGCTTATTTAAACACTTTATTTGTTTTTTGTTCTCTGAGTCAGGGTTTCTCTGTGTGTGGTTTTGGCTATCCTGGAACTCACTCTGTAGACCAGGCTGGCTTTGAACTCGCAGAGATCCACTTACCTCTGCCTCCTGAGTGCTGGGATTAAAAGGGTATACCACCACCGCCCGACTTCACTAATATACTTTAAAATCACGTACTTAATGAAAAATGGACTGCCTATAAAAACAAGCCGATGACCGGAACTCAAGCCTCCCTTTGCTGTCCCAGCAGTAATGTGGGGCATTCTGATCCCTGACACTGGGGCACCTCACGATGTTGGATTTCCTGGAGAATCTGCTGAGCGGCCAGGACAGCACTAGTCCACGGCTGTCTACTTGGAAGTTGATGAAGAGGCAGGGGCAGACTAGAACCTTGTAGCTGCTGTCTACGGGGAGCAGCTCACCAGGGCCCGCAGTTATCCCTGCCTGAGCGTCTCGACAGGAGAGAAGCACTCCCTATCCAGCCACAGCGAGAGGTGACATCTTAACGTCTGGGTCCAGCAATCATCTGCCTTCTTCAAAGTTTTCGTGGTTTTTTTTTTTTTTTTTCAATTTATTTTTTAGAGCACCAATTTGGTAAAAAATATAAACTTTCTGAAATACTTTAAATTTCAGATTAACTTACAATCATTCCACTAAATTTTCCACTTCTACCAATCAGTGAAAATAACAGCAAAATGGTTATTGAGTGATGAAATGAATTTCCTCTCGAGCCTCTGCGGGAAAGATTTTAAGGGTTATCTCAGATCAGCCTAGTGACCCCAGCTGGCATGTTGACCCATCAGGCGCTCTAGGAAACCGAAAACTTGAATAGTTCCTTCCTAGGCCGCCAGCCCTGGTTTGACAGCACCAGTCCTGTCTCCGGTCGTGTTCTAAGCACAGGGCTCCAAACTCACTTTTCAAAAGCTTCTTAACAAAGTCTCGCAATTAGAGCAGCCCTGTGACTCATTTTTGGATACCTGTGTAGAAACAACAGCTCCTCCCTCTGCTGAGAAATGGCTCGAACAAGTGTGAGAGTGCCACAGGAAGTAAAACGCAGATCTCAGCTGGTGTTCGTAAAAGCCAAGAAGCCAACAGAATTCCGTGCTGGGGTTCTCTAAGCAAAGCCACCTGATAGCTCTCCTAAAACCAACTCCTCAAATTGGTCTGTGGGAGCTGTTTCAAGGCGGTATCAATGTTCTTGTACTTCCTGGCTCCTGAGTCATACTGTCAAGTTCGAGTATGGGAGAATGGGAGAAGTACCCATTCTGATGTGTTTGAGAAAGTGGCGACCAAACTCCATTAAATGAAACAAAGTAAAACAAAACTCAACCTCTCCACTTAAAACAAAAGTACCTCGGCTAGCTTTATAAAGTCAGACTGCATTGGTCATCTCTGAAGTCTTCTGAAAAAGCACTATATTCTCAAACATTTAAAAAGCTTTCTGCTCTAGGTGAGAAACCCAAAGACGCCTCCTGAAGGTACGTAGAGGCGCAGAGAGAACCACACCCCAAACCCACCTGCTGCTGCGCAGCATCCCAAACTCTGGGCTAGCGCGGTCCCCTAACCCAGCCAGCCCCGTCGGGAAAGTTAGAGCCAAAGGACTCGCGGGACAAAACGAACCGTGATCCGGAGGGGCGCTGATCCGGGACGCCCCGAGGAAACCGGGTGCGCCTGTCCCCGCCGCCCTGCTCCCCGCGCTTCTCGCTGGCCCTGGGTGCGCTTCTCAGCCGGGGTCCGAGCGCCGCGCCACCCCAGCCGCATCTGGGCGCCGGGGGTTCCTCCCGGCCGAGCTGAGGCTGCACAGCTGGGGACCAGGCCCCGCCCCGGGGACGCCCTCAGCTGGGCGCGCCGCTTCCCGCCACCAGCGGAGTCGCCACGCTGCGGGATGCTGAAAACTAGGCACGAGCCTCCTTCCCCGTCCGTGGGCCACCCCCCTGCTGCGGGCGACGGCGTGGACCACCTGGGAAGTTCCTCCCTCTTACCCCCGCGCTTTGGGATGAGAGATGGGTGGGGCGGGATCCGCCGGACTTTCCCCGGGGAAATCCCTCCACGCCGGCGACATTTGCAATCCAGAGCATTTCCGAGGGTAGGACTCTAATAACCGTTTCTGAGCGTGGGTGTGGCTGCTCCAGAGGGGACCCGCGCGACGGCTGAATCGGAGACACTGAGCCCCGCCTTCCGTCAGCCCCTTCCCGCCTGCTGTCAGTGGGGTCCCCGCCGGAGTATTGATTGCTACTACCTCAGTGCTTGGCACCCTACTGGAGACTCAGAAATAGAAAAGGGGCTTTTGCCGAGAAGGTGGGAAGCTCTTGACAAACAAAGCGAAGACCAAGAATCAAAAAAAGGAAAATGATTCGTGCATCAATACTAGGAAGCCACCAAAAAAGCTCCTGGTGCCCCAAAACGGAAGAATTTAAGGAACAAGGTAACACTGGATGATAACCCAGAGTTATCAATCTAATGTGAGTAGATGACCGATGGGGTAGATCCACAAATGCGGAGGCCAGAATGAAAAACCTCCCAGGCAGAGCAATTTCAAAGAACCGAGGCGGAAACTCCTTTTTTCAGGGTGTCTCCGCACTCTTAAGTATGGGCTGTGCGGAGTGCCTGTTCCCAACAAAGGACAATAGGGAAAGGAGGGAGAAAGAGCAGCTTTTACCACGCAGACCTGGCCCGCAGACCTTCACCCAGCGCTCAAGGTCAGGAAGACCACTGATGTATACTCTTAAAACCCTGGTGGAGATGGTACTTCACTGCTGGGGTCTGTCTCCTCCAGGCTTTCCCTAGGCTTCTCATGAGGAAACACCAATGAAGTCCAACAGCCTGACACCCCTTAAAAAGCCCTAGCTACGAGCCAGGGAGGTGGCTAGGGGGTGGGGGGAAGTGATTGTCCTTTAGCTTGAGACCTAAGTTAACTCCCCAGAACCCACATAGAAATATTGTGCCTGCTGACCCATGCCAAGCCTTGGGCTCCCTGGCCAGCCAAACTTAAATCGTTGGTGAGTTCCCACCAATGACAGTCCTGGTTTCAAAGTAGGTAAATGGTATTCCTGACAATGAGTCTGAGGTTGCCTCCGGCCTTAACAAGTACAAACCCACTTGCACACACAACCCCCTCCCCCAAATTCGTGAGCAATAACCCACAGCTGTTGAAAGGTCATAAAACAAAGGAAAAAAATTAAAGTGCCACAGAAGAAGGGGCCCAGAAGATCTTAAAGGAGATCTTGAAGGGTGAGGGCAGTGATGGTAGTAGAGGTGGCAAAAGGGGGAGGGGATAGGAGGTGATAAACAGAGTTAAACAAAAACAAGAGGCTAGGGGATGGCCTGACACTTGGTGTTTTTGCACATGATCTGAGTTTGGTTCACAGCACCAACATGGTGGCTCCATAACTCCAGTTCTGGGGATCCAATGCCTCTCCTGACCTCCTGGTGTGAGTGCCATACACACCCATGATGTACACAGGGTACCTGAGGGGAAAACATTCATACGTATGAAATAAAAAGAAATAAATCTCTGAAAATGAGAACAAACACTAAGGTGATGTGACTGAAGTGTGAAAGCTGGCTTGTCAGTCAGGATGACTCTGTCACCTTAACGTCAGATCTTGATAGAAGGGAAACCTAGAGCAGAATAGATGGAGCAGCACCAGTTCTGCAATTTCTGTGTGTGTGGAAATCTAAAACTGTTCTAAGAATAGTTTTTAAACTTGTGCTAGCATGTAAAACCTGGGCCTTAAGCATGGTAGACCCACAACCCCAGCACTGATTATTTGAAAAAGAACTAAAACAACGATAAGGGGTGCCGTATGTTCTGAGGGAGGAAGCAGTATCTGAGGCACTCTGATGGGGACCACTGGGACCTGGAAGGTACAGGTGTGAAGACCCTGATGCTGGAGCGTGCTTGCCTTCCTAGAAACCGTCAGTGCAGGTGGGGTGCAAAGGGTAGATAACAGGGCTGCACTAAGGATAAAGAAGAGGGTGTGCAGGCCTTCATGGTCTCAATTTGCTTTCCACTGAGATATGGAACAAAGAATTCCTAGCAGAAAGGATACATGACATAGATTTTCCACCCTCCACAGTTCTGTTAAGGATAGATAGAAATAAAGAGGAGCACATGGCATAATTTTCTGTCTCAGCTTGACTGGGTCACAGAGTGCCCAAACACTATTCTAGCTAGGTATGAGCATTAGGGTGATTTTCAGATAGGATTAAATTTGAATTGGTAGCTTCAGTAAAGCAAATTGCCCTTCCCAATACAACTGAACCTTATACCAACTCCTGAAGGCCTTAAGCAAACAAAAAGCCTAAGGGTCAATTCCTTTGTCTGTCTGTCCTTGAAATCAGACCTTGGAATTCTCTTGACTTTTGACTTAGGTGGAGATTGGAATGTTTCCATTGGCTTTTCTGTTCCTCTGGCCTTCAGAATCAGCATGGAACTGAACGATTACATTTTCTGGGTCTCCAGTCTGTTGACCTAAGCTCTTGGGGCTTCCTAGCTTCCATAAATGCATGACGAGCCAATTCCTTACAATGTGCAAGGCATATGTATAAGGCAGTTCTTTGTATCTCCTATTGGTTCTGCTTCTCTGGAAAATCCTGACTCATAGGAAACCATGGCAGTGGAGCAAGCGAGAAGTCTGGCCGTATTCACAAGAGGCAGACTCACTGGCAAAAGGATGGAGGCATGAGAAAGGAGAATAAAAAAAATGAGTCAAAATTTGCTCGGAGCAACTGGTTGAAAAAGGGCCCCTATGCAGAGTTGGGGAGACCACCTCAAAAATTGTAAGAATGTGGGAACAGGGGATGTGAGAGTGTAAAAAGTCCATTGGTGTGTTTGTGTAGGGGTATAATCTCAGAAGATGGGTTAGTCAATGCAATATCTGCCATGAAAGCATGAGGACCTGGGTTTGGATCCATAGCGCACATATTAGAAGCTTGGCACCATGGCTGGCTTCTGTTAACCCAGCACAGGATGGAGGAGTCAGTGGCATGGGGGTAGGAGTAGAGACAGGTAGATTCCTGGAGTTCACTAGCCAGCCATTTTAGCCAATTAATGAGCTTTGTGTTCAGCAAGAGACTAAAAAAATAACATAGAGAGTAAATAAGGAAGACACCCACTGTCTACATGCATGCACATATGTGTACATGCAGCCATACTTACATGCCCATACAAAAGCATACAAAATTCATTCTCCAACAGTCACCCATTCCCCCTTTTAGAAGAACAGTCTCATGTATCACAAACTGGCCTTAAACTTACTGTCCACAAAGAATGACCTTGAGCTTCTCATGGTTCTGGCACAATTTTCTGGAGTGCTAAGATTACAGGCACATACCATTATGCCTGATTCTATGTGGACAATCCAACCCAGAGCTTCATATATGTAACAAGGCCTCAGACATTATTAGGCTTCCTTTAAAGCAGACTTTAGCACAACTGACTCCATGATGGAAATGCCAATTGGGCTACAGAACTCAGCACATAGATAGCACCACCTATCAAAATTAAAACAAAGGCCTAATTCATCAAAGTTAAGGGAAAGTTTCTAAATATATTAACCTTGCTTTTTGGCTTCTGAAGTTCTGCTTTTGGGTTACTGTTCTTGTTAACTGAAGTATGTCAACCCAGAACATGGTTTTTGTGCTTAAAAACTCATCCTGAGAAAGACTCAGTAGTACACTGGGATCCCAAATACCCACAGTAGTCATTAGCTGGCCAACAAAGACTTTCTACTGGCTTAAACCCGTGTCTGAGCAGTCTTTGCTGGTGAATACTGCACAACAATACATGAAAGCAATGAAAGCCCCATACCAACTAAGCTATACCCTCAGCTGAAGAATCTTATCTTTGACACTTTCAGTTTGTTGAGTTGTCAAGCAGGCAGTTGAGCAGATGAGTCCGAGACACTGCTGGTGTGCCTCCTGACACACTGATGCTTCCGGATGGAGGGTCTAGCCATCTAAACTAGACACAGAACCTGCACAGCTTTTGGCTAAGGAGGAATTATGCATCCCTGCTCCATGTAGTCATCATGAACTTCCACTTTTCTTCCAGGCTGGTTTTAGAACTCCCTGAAGACAATCTGTTTTCTGTTTGTTTTTGTTTTTTAAACTGTAATTAAAATATGTACAACATAAACTTTACACTGCAGCCATTTTAAGATGTACAGTTAAGTGACTCCAAATACATTCACATTGTTGTATAATCCTCAATGATTGCACATCTCTAGAATTTTTTCATCTTCCTGACTGAAACTCTCCATTCATTAAACTCTAGCGCCCTATTGTTTTTAACAAAATCTCAAATGTTCAATTTGACCATTAAAGCCAGATGCTGGGGTGAAAGTGTGCTAGCTCAGAGAGGCAAAAAAAGCATCCAGTTGAACTTCCTACAAAGCTGATGTCCCAAAGGAAGAACAAGTTCTTCCCTCCATGCTGTTTCAAAAACCCTCAAACTGAATGTCCCTCCCTCTACTTCCTGTGATCTCTCTATTCATCCTCCTGACTTCCTCTTACTCCCTATGGTTGTTTCCTGTGTTCACTCCCTTTCAAGTGCTTGCTTGCTCCACCTCTAGACCTATCGCTGACTTCATTTAATCCTGTTTTCAATTAAGGGTGTGTGCTATGGCTGAACTATACCACAACTATAAACAGATTTTTCCAGTAACCAACACTATCTTGGGTTTACAGTATGACCAAATATCCTGCAAAACCCTATTCTCCTTTTCCCCAGCATTCAGCAGCCACCATCATAGTTTATCACTATGGATGTGTCATTTTGTGGCTGGCTTCCTCCACTTAG